GGAGGGGGGCACGGAGGAGCCAATGATCGTGGGGACCAGTGAAAGCCAAACGGCGGCTGGGGCTGAGGGCGGTCAGTACCTAAGCAGGTCGGTTCTGGCGACTCTTCTTCCTCCAAGACGGACTTTACCAGCGGCTAACCGCTGCTCCGCCGCTGCGAGAGGGGCCCGGGCACCACCACCACCAGCAGACAGCACCCTTCAGAGCGCAACCCGGGGCCAGCGAGGCGGTAAAGCGACTGGCCCGCGGGTAGCCGAGCCCTGACAGGAGCCGCAGTCAGCACGACCTCCCCCGCCGGCGTCCGGCGGCGGACTGAGGCACCGCGCCCCGCCCCCGCCGCAGCCGTTGCGCCCGGCGCATGCGCGCTGGCGTGGCGATTCAAACCCGACGGGGCGGAGAGCTACGCGCCCGATTGGTAGCCCGCCATCCGAGCCGCGCGTCGATTGGCCAGAAGGCGAGGAGTAGGCGGGGCGGGGGCGGGTGGCGGGCCTGAGGCGGCGAGGCCCGTCCCCGTCCCCGCCGTGAGGATGAGCGCCCCGACACCCCGCCAGGCCCCGGCCGCCTCCCCAGCCCCGCGGTCCCTCGGCAGCACCGGCACCCCCGTGTTGGCCGAATGCCCCGGTAACGACGATGAACGGGAGAGGCGGCAACGCCGGCGCTCGAGGGCCGCCGACTTCCAGCTCGGCAGCACCGACTCGCCGCTGGGCCTCGCCTCACCCGCGCCCAGGTACGGGCGGGCTCGGTCTGAGGAGGTTTTGGGGGTTTTTTGGGGGGAGAGGGGGTTGGAGGGGGAGAGGGAGGTACGCGGAGGAGGAGGGTCCCGAAATCACCGTCTTTCCCCCAGGCAGACGGAGGAATGGCTGCCGGCCCTCCCCCAGTGGACCAACGCTCAGATCTCGGATCACTACAGCACCTGCATCAAGCTCTCCACCGAGAACGTGAGTCGGACACCTCGGGGAGGGCTCCTGATCCCGGCCCCTCTCACATCACCTGTGTCTGGCAGCGGTTGCAAGGCCGGGAGGGATTTTAAAACTCCTTGAGCCTTGGCTATGCGGTTATTCTTCTTCCAAGCCCTCTGAGCCACGTTCCTGATCCAAGCCGTGGCCAGATCTGGGCTTCTGTTGCTGCCTTCCCTGCAGTAACAAAGTAGGACATGGCACGGACCGTATCCCCTCGGTCCTGCTTTAAATACCTCCATGACATGAGGGTTTAGACAGTTTGGACAGGTGTCGATTTGCCAGGTGATCAGTTCCGAGCTGTGCTTTGTTTCAGAAAATCACCATGAAGAATGCCTTTGGCTTACACCTGATAGACTATATGACCGAGATCCTGAAACAGAAGGGCTCTGAACCGACCGACTTCAAGGTGAGAAGAATCGCTGCCTAGTCATGGTGGTGCTTTGTCTCCAACTGGCATTTAGCCTAAGGTTTAGCCAATAACAAACCTCAAATAACGCTGAAGGTAACTGAGCTTGTTACTTCCACTAAAAATACCTGGTAGAGGCAGCATAGTCACTTTTCGCAGAAGCTTGCAGTGTTGAATCCTTTTGTACCATAGAAATTAAAGGCTGAATTCTTTCAGCTATGGTCCTTCAAAAGGAGAGCTTGTTTAAAAGTAAGACTTGTGAGGCTTCTGAGGTAAATAATGGGTGTTACAACCAGTGACAAAACAAGACTGGAAGAGAAAGGAAGTTAGTGTGGCTAACTCCTGGTCTAATTTTGATTCAGGATGGATCAGAATAAGAATGTGCCAGGGCAAAGACTTATTCGCTATAATAGTTGACTGATGCTAGGAGGGAGAACTGAATTCTTGGGTGAATGAACAAATGGCAGGGCTTTTGAATGCGTCCTCAAGGAACCCCTGAGCTAGCTGTCTCATAGTTGATAGAACTGAGGAAGGGATGGGAAACTGCACAGGTTTTCAGTGGGTAGTCTTTTGACTTAGTAATTTGAGAAAATAGAATGATACCAAGAGGATGACCCAAAAGAAGGCATGGAGGAGAGAGGTCTCTTGGGAGATGCAAATCTGCACCTTTCTGCTTCTCCACATTGCTTAATCTTGGCGATTTTTTAAGTATTTTTCTGTGTGATCCCTTCCAAAATACCTGACAAAGCAAACTGTAGGCTCTGCCTCGGAAGACACATCTTGACCCCTGCTGTGCACCTAGGTCTCCAGTAGGTTTTGGAATAAATCCTTTTCCAGTTGTTCACAATTTTGCTTGTAATACAGAGCATTCAGAAATTCGAGTCTGCAGCTTGCCTTCTATGTTTGCATCTTCTAGATGAGACTCTTTCCTTTCTAACTAAAAATTGCATCCTTTGTTCCTCCTGTCAGATAGCAGCTGGCACGCTTGATGCCAGTGCGAAGATTTACGCCGTGCGTGTGGATGTGGTCCATGCAGATACATACAAAGTTCTTGGAGGCTTAGGCAAGGACTTACCTACAAAAAATGCAGACAGCCCGGAAGGAGGTGTGCCATTCACTCATTTTCTGTTAAGCTCTTCCTGTAAGAGAGATGTCAGTGTACTTACATAGCACCCATGAATTTCAAAGCACTTTGTACATCTAGGAGTGTACCACTAACTTCATTTTCAAGGGCTGGGAAATCCTGAATTAGTTTGCCTGGGTACTTGAGCAGGGAGGGTTGAGATGAGAACCTGAACGTGTTGCTCAATCCTGTATTCAACGATTTGGCCCATCAGATTTGAATGCAAACCAAAGGTGGCCTAATCTGAAACATTAAAAACGAAGCGCCCTCCTCTTTGCTGTCCTTTGCTTTGAAACGAAAATGTGCTGTTAAGATAAAATAGAGTCAATAAAAAGAAATGCAGCATCCAGTCAATAAAACATTGGTGGTTCATGCTAATAGATACCTAATTGGCTAACTTCATGCCCACTGGGTTTTTGCACGTTTGTCCTACAAACTGAAGTAAATGTTGTGCTATCCCTCCGTAGGGTATTTTAGCAAGTTTTCTAAGTGTAACTTGTTCTTTTCCTTTTAGAAGACAGTGCAGTTCCTGAGGCTGTCAAGAGAGTTCAGACAAAGAAAAAGCACTTATTCAAAACCATTGAGAAGAACTTGAGTAACATCAATGTGTCGGAGGCTAATCGCAGATGTGAGGTGGGTGGAGGGGGGCTGCTGTAGCAGCTGTGTTCTAGTGGAGGAAAGGAGATGTCGCCTCATCTTTCTCATTTCTATTGTTTTCCTTATTGTGCATTCCTTTCGTGGGCTCTAACATTCACATGCACATCTGTGAATTCTGCTATTATATCAAGAATGTTCCTAGTCATGTATATTCCTCCTGCATGAGGCAGCTGTGAGAGCTCTCTCCTCACTGAAAAAGATGCATGGGTCATTGTCCCTTCGGATCTGTGCTTCAAAGTCTCCTGCAGAGCCCTGCTTCACCCCCTCCATCTACTCCATTCCTTGATTCTCTGCTTCATTCTGTACCTGTAGGTTGATCCCATGTTCCAGAAAACAGCTGCATCTTTTGATGAATGCAGCACAGCTGGCATTTTCCTCACCGGGCTGCGTACCCAAAGCTGCCACAGTGAGCTCCTCTTTGACTCAAAGATTGTGCCTCTCCCTTCTTCAGAGACGCTCATGCTGCCAAACTCTGATCCTGTGAAAGTGACAGATTTAAAGTGTGAGTGCCGGTAACTGCTAAGCAAAGGGGCCCATCCAGACTTTTCGATCCTTTTCATCTCCCAAACATGCTCATTTTAGTCTCAGCCAGCTTGACTTGTGCTTTTCTTCACTGCTTGGCTACCCTGTGGCTCCATTGCTCTGATCCTGATCAAATTGAGACTGGTTGCTGGATAAACAGGACCTTTGTAGGTTTTAGATCGCTACGTGTAACTTCACCTCTGGCAGATCTGTCACACAGCAAGTATACGTGGTCTGAGCCGTGCACCAGTTGAGATTAGTGTGCTCCAGGTTAAGGACTGACCTTCTTAAGAGTGTTTTGAGCCTATACATACTACCCAACCCCACTGCTCTGATAAAATTCCCAGCGTTACGCCCACCCTTGAGTTAGGATAGCAAGTGAACTCTCCCTTTCTGCTGAGAAATGAGCCTGACTGCTTTTGCAGTGAGCCCTGCACCACCCTACATGGAAGAAGGGCTGCCTATATATGTGGCTTTAAGAATGATTTAATGCCTGGCACTTGTTTTAGGTGCTGGTTGCTTCATCCTATATCTAATCTCTCCCCTTTGCTCTCCTTGTCTCTAGCCCTGCTAGCACAGTGCATTGAAAAACGCCCCATCTGCTCTTCGCTGGCTGGTTTCCAGTTTACAAAGTGGGATGCTGAATCCCATGATGAGGTATGTTTGTTAGCTCTGTGCCAGGTGGGATACTTGAGCTATATTCTGTGCTGTCCTCCAAAGCAATCTCCCAGATACATGGGGCAGTTTGCGCTGCAGGGCTGCTGATATCCTGCAAATTTTTTTCCTGAGCACTTCTTCTCCTACAGTCAGTGTCAGCCCTGTTGGAAAAATTTAAGAAGAGCGACCAAGTGTTCAATATCAATGCAGAGACAGACAGTGACGTGGAAGACTCTGTTCCCACCCTGCCAGATGACAACTTCAATTCTGACTCCCCCAGGACTACAGAAGCAGACAAGATAGGGGAATTCAGAGAAAATCTCAACTCCTGTGGGACACTCTGCCAGAGCAAGAGGTAAGTAGTCACTGAAAATCTATAGCTTTGCTTTGATAGCAAGCAACAACTTCTGGCAGCTCTCTGAGGAATCTTTAATTTACTGCGTAGACATTTCCCATCTGCCGATAGCTTGCTTTCTGCTCAAGTTTTGGGTACGTCCAGGAGTGCCTTACAATAGTACCTCTACCCTCCAAGAGGACCTTTTCCTATGGTCACCTTTCCCCAGAGTGATTGCTTGCCTGCTCACTCTCCTGCCCAGTTTCCAGCCTGCCCTTTGGCAAATCCAACTCTGTGTTTGCAGCAGCCTCATGGACTCCAGACAATGCAGCACCCACAGTACTGTTCACTCATTAAAGAGCCAGAGTCCTGCACACATGCCGGCAGAGGGAGCGGGTGATGTCTGTACAGAGCTGATCTGGTTATTAAATGCACGCTCAGGCCTGGTGTGTGCCAAAGGAATGATTTCACTGAGCAGCATGTGTGCTCTTTCCAGAACTGATGTGGTTCCTTTTGGAGAGGGAGACATCGGGACCATGTGCCTTCATCTCTCCATGAAACCAGGGGAATACTCCTACTTCAGTCCCCGAACTCTGTCAATGTGGGCTGGCCCAGAGCACTGGCGTTTCAAACCTCGACACAAAGGTACGTATTTAGAGACAGCGGCTCATACGCTACAGATGCGGCTACTGCTAGGTCCTGCTTACCTTTGGAGATGGGTGCCACCTGAGTTGTAAAGTAGGGACAGTAAAGAATGGAACGAGCCTGCATGGCTCTTTTTTAGCCAGATGGGAAACAGCACTGACTTCAGACACCAGGAAGGCTCTCAGTCACATGCGGATCCTTTGGTGTCTAACATATTCTCTATTGTTTGGGTTTGTTAATGATGTTCAAAGTTGAGGGGGTGTCTTTCACTGCAGCAATAAGAGATTCTAGCACTAATACAGCTCCTGGTGTTGTTTCCCACCTTCTGCATAAAACCTGAAGATTAAATTACACTTTCTGCTTCTATAAAAAGATAATGATCCCTTTAAAACATGAAGCTTAGAAAAACAGCTATTGCTTTCCTGTAACAAAGGGAAAAGTCTTTGCAGGTGACCTTTCTGTGTGGAGCAGATGCTCAAGTTAGGAGTGAGCTTGTTGTCCTTACTCTGTCACAAAGCACTGACAGTTTCCTTCCTTTCTGCAGCAGATGCTGACTCTGAAAAAGAGACTAAGAAAAGAAATGCAAAGAAAGCGTTTGAAATCAACTTTGATGAGGATATTGACTTTGAGGCATATTTCCGTAAGACCAAGGTACGTGCTGAGGTTCTGCCTCTTTCTGCTCTCTCTTTTGCCATATCAGTGTATCTTGGAACTGTCATCTGCAAATGGTTCATATGCTCCTGTGAAACTGGCTCTGTAAACCCAACATCATGTATGTTCCTTGGTGCAGGGTCTTCTTACTCCAGATCACGTTACAAATAGAGATTTTTACCAACCTTGGGGTAGAGAATCAGGGTGGATTCTTCCTGGCTTATACGCTGTCAGTCAAAGAGACCCTGCAGCTCCAGCTGTGTGTCACAGGGTGCTGCACAGAAGCCACTGGTTGCACTGACTGGACCAGTGTGGAACTCCTCTTCAGAGGCATCTCAGAACTTGCCACCTTTCAGACGAAGACCTGTGTTCAAAACACTTACTTGTGCATTAATCTTCCAAGTAGCGCGTAGCTCATGGGTAATGGTATTTATTACCTTTCCCAGGCATCTGTAACTCTAGCCAAATCCATTCTGGAAAGCCAGAATGGGAAGAGCACCACGCTTCCCACAGACTTCAACTATGACCCTAACAACATTCTCCAGCTGTTCCTCAAACCAGCTGTTAAGGTAAGAGTCTTCTCTAAAAGCCTGTTGGCAATGATTCCATGAACAAAACCGCTCTTCACCAAATGCTTGAAGCGCTTCGGGATGCTCCTTAGGGCTGGAGACGGGCCAGCATATCTCTCGCTGAAGTGCCCCACTTGTGGATGCCGAAGTGGCTGTGCTTAGCTGTTGTGCTTTACAAGGGGCTTGCTAGAGGGCTGGCATGCGAGGAGGAGGAGGAAGAGCTAGCAGGCTGGGAAAAGGAGGCGATGAAGGAACAAGGCGCAGGCGTTGCTTGGGGAAGTATTTAGAGTTTTTTCTTTCCTGATCCCTGGTCTTGTCTCTGTAGCTCTGCAGGACGTCTGAGCTGGACAGCTCATTGGATCACGAAGATGACATCGGCGAGTACGATTACAACAACCCCAATGACACCTCCAATTTCTGCCCTGCATTGCAGGTAACTGGAACAAGATTTCTTTCTGTTGCTTATACTTGATATGTGATGGGAATAATTTAGGAAGAATCTGTGTCTGGAATTAATTACTACTGAAAAAGAATAGGAGCTGCAGATTATGACGAAGCTGTACGAGCCTCTGTGCACACCCCTGTCCCCTCACCCTTAATGAAATCAACTAAACTCTCTGCCTTTGGTGTTTCTTTGCCAGTCAGTTTGTTGCAGAAACTCTGTTCCAGCCTTTTCCATAGACCTGTGCCCTAAAGCAGGAGTAAATGCCATTGCTTACCTCTTCTGTCATCTCTACACAGTGAAGTTTGCTCCCAGCTGTTTCGAGCTCCCACTGAAGTAGATTTCTTCTAAAGCTTCAGCTTTCTGCCAGGCCAGCACCGCCTCCTGACTGTGTTTGTGACAAGTCTGGTCCCACGCTGGCAGAAGAGCCCTCATCTCTGTTACCTTTCTGTGTAGAACAGTCTTTTGATACTCTGTGCTCTAGATCTCCCTTGAGTTTAGCCTTAGCCCAGCCTAAGCGCTATGGGGAGAGGCTGAATAAGAACATGTTCCATGGGGAAGGTGGACAGGTATCACCACCCTCCTGAGAGGCGGGTGCTCTTGTTATCTCGGTGCAGGACAACTCTGGCTCCTCAAAGATGTCTCTGGGTAGCCTCACTGCTGTATCTCTTCTTGATCAGGCTGCAGACAGCGATGATGATAATGACCCCATTCAATTAATGGGCCAGACAGGGGACTTCAACCTTACCAGCCACCCTGAGGGTCAAGACGCTGAGCTCCACACGGTTGTCGGCAATGTCAATGTCACAACGTATGGAGAGCTGAACCTCATTGCTGAGCCCCAGAAGGTAAGGGCTCGTGTTGTCGCCAAGCTGTGAACTGCTCACTTGGGCAGGTCTGGAGCAAAGCCTCTCAACACCTCAGGTGGTTAGAAGTCCTGAGATGGCAGTTTCCCTGGTGCAGGATTCTCCTGGGTTTGCTACTGGACACTTTTTTCCCAGATGAACCCTTGTGTAAGAGGAGGGAATTAAAAATCAAAGGTTTAGTAGTGAGATAGCATTTACCATTGTTCCCAAGAACCATGTTTTGATTGTTCCTGTGGCCCTAAGTGAGGATAGTGCTGCTGCTTCTGCTCAGCTGCTCTCAACTAACCCTGGACTTCTTTTCCTCAGGTCAATAAGATAGCAATTCAGTATGCAAAGACAGCCAAGAAAATGGACATGAAGAGGTTAAAGAAAAACATGTGGGACATCTTGACTAATGGAGAGAAGAAAGAAACAGTGGCTGAGGTGAGTGCAGGGGGAGCCAGATACCTCAATAGGCCCAGGACTGTGCTTAACCCCTGCAGAGACAGTCTTGGTCAGGTTTAGCAGCAATTCCTTTCTAGTAGTCTTGCTCCCATGGGATGGTTGATAAGGACAGACTGAGTGTAACTTGCAGTGGTTTTTTCTCTGAACACAAGGCTGAATACTGGGGAGCAAAGTCCATCTCAGCAGTGTCTGTCTTTTTGCTAAATAGATGGAAGATGCAGAGAAAGAGGAGGACACATCCATGGTAGCAGGAGAGAAGGTCTTCAGCAGCATTACAAAGGAACTGCTTCACAGGTAGAGAGGCCCTAAAAAAGGTTGGACTGCAGCTGGGGGACAGACTTCAGCTGAGCTTGGGCAAATGCTGACCCCTCTCTGTCTATATTACAACCTGCTAACTGAACCCTGATGGGGAAAAAAAAAATCTCTTCTCTTGCTCTCTGGGAGCTACGGGTTGCATTCAGCTTGGCAAATTCTGTGCTGGTGGGAGGGGAAAGGTAGAGAAAACCAGATCCCTGGGGAAGAGCTAATCTTTGGCGACCTGGTCCTTGCAGACACACTCCATCCGCTGGGTTTCAGTAGGCTCTGGCCATCCTAACTTCCTCCCTTCTCTTTTGTAGGCTGCCTTCTGTGATGGCTAACAATCTGTCTGTCCCCTTAGCCTTCGCCTGCCTCTTGCATTTGGCAAATGAGAAGGTAAGTGTAGCGTGCACACAGGAGACGTGGTAGGAGCAGCGGGCGAAACGCACAGTGAAAAGTGCCAGGAGCAGGGCCGTTTTCTTGCTGCATCAGGACTTCTCAGTTTAAGTCCCCGTTTCATGCTTATAGTGAACATAAATCAGGCTAATGTGCTGGGAATGACAGCCCGTGGTTAAGTACTCGTAGCATTTCCAGCCTAACTGCTGCCTGTCCTTCCTTGTCCTTGGGTCTGGCAGCAGAGGGGTGAGCACCTGTTGCTCAGTGTTGTTCTAAGATTGTGAGAGTTCCAGACTCCGAAGCAACAGCCGATGGGAAGCCTTGGTCTTGCGTGTGCTACTGGTGACAGAAGGGGCTGAGGTTGTTCTGAACCATCATCGTGTGTGGTTTTTTTTATGCCAGGCCTTCAGACTCCAAGGGGAAGAGTCTGGCTTTGTCAAACTTAGCTTTTCTTTTATATTCCCAGAATCTGAAGCTGGAGGGCACAGAGGACTTGTCTGATGTCCTAGTGAAGCAAGGCTACTGAGCCCTGTGCGGAGCAGACCACCGGGGCTGACCCACAGGACAGAGCTCAACTTCCCAGCTGGCCAGTGCTCGCTCTGGACTCTCTCATCAGTGGCAGATTTTTCTTGTCCCAGCACCGTTGCTGAGAAATCCCACTGGTCTCTGCACTTCACAAAGACTTCTAAATCAAGGATGTCCTACTCAAACGTAGGACCTGTACAGATGGACAGTTGCAGCTCAGCCTGCCTGGCTCCTGCCATCTTCGATCCATCGGCTCTTTCCTGTGTCTGGGTAGCAGAGTTCCTCCATCTCACTGTGAACTGCCAGTGCCTGCTAGCAAACGGTCCCTCTGTGTGTCACTCACTGTCTGTCTGTAATTCCCAGTACGTGGACTGACTGTTACTCGTGTCTCCAGTTCCTCCTGTAGTCCTGTTCATCCCCTGAAATTATTGACTTTTTATACTGAGCTTAAAGATAATAAATTGCTACAGGCTTTGTCGATGGGCCTTTGAGATGGGGAAGGAGGAGTCTCCAAAACAGGAGAGAGGTTAAAATAACAACACATGAGTGTCAGGGAGCAGCAAGAGCAGGGTGGCTCCCTAAAGAAAGGCAAACAAGGAGTCACAGGTTGCACGGCCAGAGCATCACCAGCCAGGACCCAGTCCTCCAGTACCTGAACAATGTGAGCAGGACCAACCTGGAGATGGTGGCCAGGTTCAACCAAGAGTTGAGATCACTATGCAAGTGCGTGGTGCTGAGGCAGGTCCAAGATGAAGCCAGGAAGTCTGTGTGCAGGTCAGGATTGGGTCTGAGGCGATGAGGCAGGGACAGCAGCACACCCAGTGCAGCTCAGGCAGGGACTGAAGCCCTTCAGCTGAGCTTCGGTGGAGCTCCTGGGCCATGGGTGCAGGTCAAGGCCCCTGGTGAGGCTGGTCAAGGCCATTGGGGCTTATTAATGTCCTCAGGGCCCTTGACGAGGTGGGTGGAGAACAGCTCTGTGCAGAGTGGGGGAGCCTAGAGCTGGCTCCAGTGCTGTCCCTGTGCTGTCAGCTGTGCCCCTGTGGGCATCTCTGGGCACAGGACCCCCCCCTCCCTGAGAGCTGGCCTGAGGGGGCAGGTTGGGGGCACAGGACATGCTGGTGGGGCACAAGGTGAGGAGTTTTAAATAAAAGTCACAAACAGGGACTTTCTTCAAGAAACGATGTATTTCCTTGAGTTGCAATTCAGCTGAGGGGAGGTCTGCATGGGAAACGCCAGCAGCCCCCCCTTGTATCCACAGCTTTGAGACCAGTGGGGGAGACTTCCCTGAGGGACTTCTGGGGCGATGTGAGGTGGCAGCGCCTGCTTCACCTCAGCCCCTCCAGCACAGCGAGGGTGGGCTTGAACACGGCCTCGTCTGCCACCCCCAGGATCTGTACCACGTCCTCCCTGGCCCCAGGGCTCTTCACCCCCAGGGCATCTGCCCCTCACCTTGCCTTTGAGGTCCTTCAGTCCCATCTCCCAGAAGAGCTGTGGGACTGGTCCCCAGGCAGCTGCCTGCCTCTCCCCAGTAATCTGTGGCATAGTGTCAGGAGGGGAGGTGGAAGAAGCGGATGATCCTGTTGCTGCTGTGGGCACCGTGCAGCCCTCCTCGCCGCTGCACCGGCAGCGAGTTCCCCAATTCTTCTTCCAGCATCTGGAGGAGAGAAGCAGCGCTGCCACGTCCCGTGCCCCGTGTTGCGGGGGCTTGCAGCGGGGAGGGCAGCCCTCCATTGCATCCCTTGAGCTGGGCCAAGAAGGGGAGGGGATGCTTCGGGCTGCACGACCACTCACCTCCTTGCGGGCAGCCAGCCGTTGCTTCCACTCGCTGAGCTCCATGACGTGCTCCTGGTCCAGCTGCCCCAGCTGCCTCCTCTCCTGTTCTGCCAAGAGGTGCATCTTCTCGCTCTGGGAGAGGGGAGGTGGAAATGGGAAGGAAGATGCTCGAGGAGAGGTAGCAGGGGTGTGGGAAGCCCCTGGGGTGGACAGTTTTGCAGTGGTCCCTGGTACCTGCACCTGCTCCAGCTCTGCCAGGCTCTCGGCCTGCTGCTGCTGCAGCTGCTGCAGCTGCTGCGCCTGCTGCTCCTGCTGCTGTTGCGCTTCCGCTCGCTGCCGCCTCTCCTCCTGCTGCACGAACTGCGGTGGGGGACAGCCCGTGTCACCCTCCCCTTCCCTAAAAGCCATGGCTTACAGTTTGCAGGGACTTTCCCCATACTTTGTGCTGGGGAACCTCGTTGGCCCCGGACAGGTCCTTGTACCTGCTTGGCCCTCTCCCTCTGCTTGGCCCCATTAGCCTCCTGGATCTTCAGGTTGTCCTTGAAGAGGGCCAGGCGGATTTTGGCATCACAGCGCTGGCTTTTCAGCAGCTGAGCCTGCTCCTGCACCTGCTGGCTCTTCAGGTCCTCCAGCAAGAGCTGGTGGAAGCGGTTCATCCTCTCTGTCTCCTGGGAAAGGGGCAGGAGGGTGAGCCAGGAGAGCGGTCAGGAGCCTGCAGGGCTGGGGGAGCATCGCCAGCGCTTCCCACCTCACCTTCTCGTGGCGTTTGCGGAGCTGCTGCCTCTGCAGCGCGTGCTGCTCCTTCACCTGCTGCCTAAAGAGCTGGTACTTCTCCTGCAGGTGCCCTTGCTCCATGTTCCACACCACTGACTCACGGGCTGCCGGGCAAGACCGCAGCATGATGACCACCTCCAAAAAACCCCCAGCCAGACCCCCTGCTTCCCTCCCCAAGAACCCTCCATCCTCTTCCTCCTCCCAGCCCAGTGTGCACCTCTCCTGAGGCTGTGGATCTTGTTGATGCACTCCCAGTCGATGGATGTCATCTTCTTCTTGTGCTCCTGGACGACCTTCTGCAGGGCTGCATTGAGTTCCTCCTGCTGCTGCTGCAGGAACCGCTGCTCCTGCGGTGAGCAATGGAGGGACTTGGTCCCAGCACCCAGGGGAGACGGTCCCCAGCCTCCTGGTGGCATAGCCAGGGAAGCCAGCACTGCCCCCAGACCCTCACCTCTCTCCCATCACCCTTCAGCTCTTCCATCCTCCTCCTGCAGTTCTTCTCCTGGAGGGACTTGAGGCGCTTGGCCTCATCTTGCAGCCTCACTGTGTACTGGAGCTCCTGGCGCTCCTTCAGCTGCTGGTAGCGCCGCTCCAAGCTCTCCATCTCTCGGTCATAAAAGTCCTTCTTGCTCTGCCATGCAGATATGGTTAATGGGGCTGCAGGGCCAAAAAGGGGCCCCCAAAAAAACCAACCCCCCCCCCCCAGACACTGGCATCTCCCCCAGCGGGACCCCAGCACCCCCTTGCACGTGTCCCTCTCCAAACATATCACGGCATGAAGGGATGATGGTCCAGTTACCGTCATCTCCTGCTCAATGTGACGAAACATCTGCTCCCGCTGCTGGTGAAACTTCTGCTCCAGCTGGCTCTGAGCTCGCTGCTCTTCCTTCTGCAGCACTCGCAGCTCGCGGAGCTCCTGGCGCCTAAAGGTTTGGGGAATCAGGGTGAGAGGGGGTTGAAGGAGGCCCCTCTTGCTCTCAGGATGGCTGACTTCTAGGTCGCTAAAGGAAGGGAGAAGCTCAGCCCTGGTGCAACATCACAGAGAATTTCTCCAGCAAGAAGGAAGATGGGATGCCGGTTGGGTCTGTGGTGGCCACAGTCCCAAGCTCAGCCGATGTCACTGCCCCTCCATCTCCCCCCCTTCATCCTTTCCTACTCTCCTTGGGTGACGTGAGAGCTTATGGGAGAAGATCTTCCTCTCTCTCCTTAAGCTGGCTGCTGGACACACCAGATATGGGGCTGGGTGATGTTTTGGCTCCTCATGTGTCCCTAGTGCACAGCTCTGAGGATGCAGGGAATGGTTTGCTCATGCTTTCCTGCTGGAGTAGACCCCAGCCAGGGAGGCAGATGGGTTTTCCAAGCCTGGAGGTCAAGCACTTGTACTTTGCACAGAGACACCCAGACCCATCCTCCATCCCACACCTTCTCCCCTTTCCTCCTGGTCCTCCTCAGCCAGAAACAGGTGGAAGATGCCTGGTGGCCCCTCCGCTAACGGCATCACTCACCGAGCCGAGCGCACCATCTCATCCCTTGCCTCAGCCTTGCCGACGGTCCTGGCGGTCGTCACACTCACCTCCTCCCCGTCTACCACAAACCTGCGGGTTTTCTTCACGGTCCTTTGGAGCAAGGCAGGTTCCTGTGCAACAGGAAGCAACAGTTTGAGCTCAGACGGCCCAAAACTACGTAAACCCGACATGGGAGCCCATGTAAGGAGGGGGGCAGGTTCACGTGGCCATGTTACCTGCAAGCTTCTTACCTGCTGGGTTTCCCCAGCAGAGGGGAAAGGCTGCGCTGCTGCAGGGAGGGTACTTGGACCTTGTACATCTGCGGGGTTTTCCACAGGGGATGGCTCCTCTCCTTGCTTTGATGTGACAGATGGATCTGGTGGGTTCCCTGCTTCCCACACGGCCCGTGCCTGGGAAGAGTTGCGGACAAGGGCAGCACCAAGGCTCACGGTCTTTGTGGCCTTTGGATGTCCACCAAGGCCCTCCTGGGGCTCTGGCACTGCTCCATGACCCTCCAAGCCACCCATCTCCTCTCCAGCTCCATCCCTTGATGGCTCTTCAGGTGCTGGAGCAACCTGCACCCCATCTTCTCCAAGCTCTCCATCATTTCCATCTTCTCCTTTCCAGCCATTCCCATGAGCAGCTCCTGGCTGGTTGTCTCTGGGGCTGCTTTCTGCTTTCTCTTCTGTTTCTTCTTCAACAGGCCCCGGGATCTCCACAGCGGGTGAATCCTCTGCTGAATTTTGGGCCTCCTCACTTGCAGGTCCCTCTCCCGCACATGCTGCAGAGGCTGCCTCCAGTTCCTCTCCTGCCAGCATCACCTCCCCCAGGCCGGCTGCATCTCCCACTGGGTTATGGTCTCCAATCAAACACCCTTCTACAACATCCTCTTCCAATTTCAATTCTGCTGCCACCAGGGCTTCCTCAGGAGAAGTTTCCACCCTAGTTTCAGCATTGTCTATGGCTTCCTCCTCATTCCTTCCCACCTCCTGCTCAACCAGGTCCAGGGGGTCAGCGTCGGGCTCGCGCAAGCCTGAGTTTCTCTCCCCATT